TTTTTTTTTAAACTTTATACGCTTATAAATCCGCTCTCTACTTATAACGATACAAATTAGTGCATAATCATGGCACACAATGTTGGCAAATATATATAAATGAGGGTTGTGACGTAAGCTGTGACCCCAATATAATTGGATCCCAGTAGTTGGAACACAGTGGTACAAATTTGATGCTTACGATACAAACTAGAAGAAAATATCTACAAAATCATGGCTCAAGAAGTTTATGGATGTACACATATGCACGAGGTAGTAACGATAAGTTGCAAGGCCAAAATAAAGTCGATCCTAGCGGTCAAAAAGTACTGGTACAAAATTAATCACTTACAGTACAAAATGAGTACAAAATTATGGCACGACATTTTTGCATGGGTTTGTATACTGGGGTTGTACCGTTAAGTTGCACCTCCAAAATTAATTTGATAGCGGCGGTTAAAAGGTAATGGTACAAAATTTTTTGCTTGCGGTATAAATTAGTACAAAATGAGTACAAAATTATGAGCCATGCATTTATGCATAGAGTTGTGTGGGCTAGTTTGGCTAACAAACCCCAAAACTGTTATTATTGTATGTTATCGACCACCTTCTGGTGATTTTGATTTGTTTATGAAGAATTTATGTGCACTATTTGTTATGATATACAAATGTAATTATAGATACATACTTGCTGGGGATTTTAATGTGCATTTTGAAACGGACACAAAATTTGCTAAGCAATTAAATAGTCTTTTATGGAATCTTATAATATGACTGCGGTAGTAAAAATTCCCACTCGAGAGAATGCAATTTTAGACAATATTTTTCTACACAAATCTACTGATGTAACTTGCGATGCATTGCCTTTCTTGTTCTGTGATCATAAATACGTTGTACTAATAGTAATTTGCCACTACCCTCTGACAGTAATCTTACGTTTACCAAGGGTAGAAAATTTACGCCAGCTTCTATCTCTCGTTTTCATGAGTTAGTGGAGAATCAGAACTGGTTAACTTTAAATTCTGCTACGACATTCGATGGTGCGTTTACTGTATTTTACAATACTTTTGTCTCTCATTTCAATTCATCGTTCCCAGAGACCAAAATTTTAAAACGTAATACCCCATATGTGAAAAAAGGATGGGTAAACAGCACCGTTAAAAAGCTTAGCCAAGATCTTAAAAACTTTTACCACCTCCAAAAAATGTATCCCGCGCTTAAAAAGCTTTATTTAACACACAAATTTAAATACCGGCAATACATTATGAATTGTAAGAAATCGTTTTATGGTAACTTAATCAAATCCTCCGACAATAAAAATAAAACAGTATGGAGCCTTATAGCTATACCACAGATTAAAATACTCATACTTAACAATAAAGAAAAGTCGCACAAAAATATCACTCTTAAAAATTCAGAAACAACCATTGACGATCCTCAAACAATTGCAAATAGTTTTAATGAGAATTTTATTAATGGCCCTCAAAATATTCAACGTTCTATAAAAAGAAACATTTATTCGACTAGCAACTTTGAGTCTAATATGACTATTCGCGAAAGTATGTGTGCACTGCCTTTTAGTGAAACGGAATTATTAAATTGTTTAAAAAAAAGCATAAAAATAAACATTCCTCGGGCCCCGATGATATACCTAATTCTTTGCTTAGGTCAAGTTTGCATATTATAATAAAACCTGTCACACATCTAGTCAATATGTCTTTTTCAAAGGGTGTCTTCCCGAAAGAACTTAAGCTGTCAACTGTACATCCCGTTCACAAAAAAGGTTGCTCTCGAGATTGCTCGAATTAGAGACCAATTTCTGTTAGCTCGGCGCTGTCAAAAGTTTTTGAATACGCCATGTTAGAGAGGCTAAATAATCACCTTGTTAAATATAACATTGTAAGTAATAAACAACACGGGTTCTGCAATGGGAAATCGACAATTACTGCCATTAACTCCTTTGTTAACGACATCATTTCACTTCTTGATAAAAAACAGAATGTCCTTGCTATATTCTGTGACCTCAGCAGGGCTTTTGATACTGTTGATCACTTGTTACTGTTGGACAAATTAAATACTTACGGTATCAGAGGCGTTGTTGCGAATTGGTTTTCATCATATCTCTCTGGAAGGTGTCAACAAGTAGAAATTAAATTCAAAACCGGTTCCACTATTGCAAAATTTTTATCAACAGCTTTGCCTGTTAATATGGGGGGTTCCACAAGGATCTGTTTTAGGACCTATTTTATTTTTATTATTTATTAATGATATTGTCATGTTCTTAAATTGCTTGGTTTTATATGTGGATGATACGACGGCATTAATATCCGGAAAGAAGCAAGAAAATATATATCCAAAAGCTGTTGAGATTCTAAATAAGCTAAGTAATTGGTTTAATTTTAACAAATTATTCTTAAATCACGATAAAACATTTTTCCTACCGTTTACAACTTTTGGAAATAACCATTTGTCTGACACAAGCACCAAAAACATTAATATTCTAGGCACTGGGAAGTTTCTGGGGATCTATTTAGATCAAAACTTAAATTGGAAATGTCACTGCAAAATCTTATTAAAAGACTAAACACTTATTGCTACCAGATACGGAATCTTAAAGAATTAATGGATGTGAACCATACTTTAAATTATTACTATGCTCAAATTCAATCCAGATTGTCGTATGGAATAATTGTTTGGGGCTCGTCAAGCGCGGCAAAAAAATGTTTTTCTTGTACAAAAACGAATAGTCCGGTGTATTGCGGGTAGTAAGAAATTTTATTCGTGTCGCCCGATGTTTAAAAAATTGAATATTCTTACACTTTCATCACTCTATACAGGGTGATTCCTATAGTACCTGCCACCGTTTGGGAGCGTGTAGGTGGTGCGTAGGGGAGTATTTTGATATAGGACACTTGGGGTCGGAAATCTAAAATAAGGGTGCCAGAGCCAAATTTACCTTCTGGAATTTCGCGCCTGTAGGTAGGCAACCCAACCGGCCGGCGGTGCACACGGAGCGATCTCAGGCGGCGATGTGTGGCTGACACTTGATCAGAATTTTGTTTAAACCCACGAAATCCCGTCTGCAACGACGCGTATCAAGTGAATAAACACTATGGCAATAGTATAATAATAGTTGGCTAGATGTAGGAAGTGCATTGAGAACCAACGGTGGCCACGTTGAACACTTGTAAACGTTATTGCTTTTGACTGTCGTTTTCCCTCCTTCCCTCCCATGTCGCTTCCTCGCGCTAACTCGCTCTGCATCGCTCCGCGCGAAACGTCGGTCGGTTGGGTTGCCTACATACAGGCGTGAAATTCCAGAAGATAAATTTGGTTCTGGTGCCCTTATTTTAGATTTCCGACCCCAAGTGTCCTATATCAAAATACTCCCCTAGGCACCCCCTATACGCTCCCAAACGGTGGTAGGTACTATAGGAATCACCCTGTATACTTGAATTGTTAACTTTTATTTTCCATAATCAGCAACATTTCCTACGCCATAGCAGTTTTCATAATTACAACACGCGCAATAAACAACAATTTATCATCCCTTTAACAAGGCTTAAACTTGCCCATAATTCTCCCACGTCAATGGGCATTAAATTATTTAATGTTCTTCCAAGTACACTTAGAAGTTAGGGAACAATAAAGTGCTTTAAATCTTCTTTAAAAAAATTTCTTCTAGTCAATGCACCATATACAATTGATGAATTTCTAAATTGTATTGATAAAAATTTGCGGATCTCTAGTGTAATTTATATTGCATTCTTTCTTTTTTGTCCATTGTATTGTGTATGACCAACATTTTTTAAATTGTATTTAATTGTATTTTTTTTGTGTCTAACGTATCCTATACAATTCAAAATTTGTCTTGGGAATTAATATATATTATTATTATTATTATTATATTATTATAGAAATCTGTTTACTTGGGGTTGTACCGTTAAGTTGCACCTCCAAAGTTAATTTGATTAGTAGCGGTTAAAGGGTAATGGTACAGATTTTTTTTCTTACGGTACTAATTAGTACAAAATGAGTACAAAATTATAGCACACAAATTTTTAAGGATCTGAATACTCGGGGTTGTGGTGTTAAGTTGCAACCCCAATGTAGATTCGGTCCTAACGATTAAAAGGTAGTGGTACAAAATTTGGTATCCGCGGTACAAATAAGTACAATATTAGTACAACATAACGGTATTAATAGATTTGCTTATCTTTTTAGTGGAGGGCAACTTAATGCACCCTAATTTGGTGGTTTTTCTATTTTCTTAAGCCACCTCTGCTACTTCATCCTGTTTACGAGCCTGATCTTTACCCCTTGAATGCTAGTACTTTTAGACAGTAACACAGGCACATACGTTTAATCAACTTGTGAAAGTGTGACAAAAAAGAAATAAGAAGGAACTCAAAGATTGGGTTACAGAAAACTGAGTAGATACCTAAAACAAACACCATTCATCCTTTCAATAATGAATGGGCCGTTATTTATAATTATAAAACTCTCAGCATTTCTCCACTAGGCTAATTGAAACTTCCACGTGCCTTTACATTGTTTGGTGACTATTTTTAAAATCATGACACAAGGAAACGTTTTTAATGTGAAGAATTTTTTGAACTCGAGCAGCTCACAAAGTTGAAGGGCTTAAGGTCAAAATTGGAGCTTTCAACATATTTCCTGTATAAAAAGCCAAGATCGTTATCGTAGGTAGTTATTGAGCTAGGGGACAATATTGCTTCAAAATAGGAATTCTTCTACCGAATGCGCAAGATTCTGTTTCTTCAGGTATTAGAGACAACATTACATTGCCAATATCCAAGTAATCGCCCTGTATTTTAATCCCATACAATCATAAAACGTTATCGAAGTTACAATTGGCAATAAAAGATGAACGAATCGCCAAGCGGAATTTCCGAATTTTAAATTTGCCACCCTTGACGTGTCAATTACAGGTTACCTGCAATATTGTAGAACCGAATCGAATCAGTTCATCCTTGCACAGTTTGCAGTCAAGTGTCGATCGATTCGTAGGTGTTCAATTTTTCTTCCAAATTTTTTTAAACAAAATGTTAACGCTTCCGCAATTGCAACGTTCCAAGGCCACCCCGGAAACGATCAGGTACCGTAATTTGTTAAACTTTATCGAGATGAATGATTTGGAAACCGTGCAATTTAACGGCCAACGAGTAACGACCCCCCGCAAGATGAAAATGTCGGCCCCGGAGCGCGGTTCCGAAATATTCGTCGGGAAAATACCCCGGAACATCTTCGAGGATGAACTTGTACCCTTGTTCGGACGTGTCGGCGTGATTACAAAATTTCGCCTGATGCTCGATTTTTGCGGGCTTAATCGCGGTTACGCTTTTGTTACATACGCTAATGCGGCTTACGCTGATCGCGCGGTCGCCATGTTGGATCGTTACGAGATACGTTGCAATCGATTTATCGGGGTGTACAAGTCAATCGATAATTGTCGATTGTTTATGGGCGGCGTCCCCGTCGACAAGACCAAGGAGGAAATTTATAACGTTCTCAAGGAGTACGTCGATGGAATTACGAAGGTCATCATGTATCCCGCGCAGGTGTTGGGGGATGTTAATCGCGGTTACATTTTTATCGAATTCGTCGATCACAAAGCGGCCGCCATGGCTCGACGACAGCTCGGTTACGGCTTCGCTTTGTGGAACAAAGATATCGCCATTGATTGGGCCGATCCCATTCCGGAAGTCTCTTCGGAGATTATGAGCCAGGTAGGACACCCTCGCCATCTTCTGTTTACACGGTCCCCTGATTTGCATTTTGCATTGTTATTTCAGGTAAGATTATATGCGTAAATGCGGTATGTACATAGGGGAGGGGGTATGACCCTCGCCCCGGCTGATGTCCATTGGTCAATGGTACAGGTGAGACAGAGACTGGTCTACGTCATGAGGTAACGAAACAATATTTTCTTTTTTACATACATTTGCGTTTTGTCCGTCTGTCTGGACCCACTTTTGAACTACTTTTAGGGGATGATAACGTTTTATTTGCGGAGAGCCCCCTTCATTATTTTTATTGTCGAATTTTTTATATAAACAAAACGTTTTTATTAAAAATTGATTAATTAGTCATTTATTTTTTATTTTTTATACCTCTCTCGTTAAACTATGCATGACACAGTCGAGTTAAATTCGATTTTATTTTGTTTTATTTTATTAATAAATAAATATAATAGATTTATTATATTTTGGTTACATGAGTTCTCAAAATGTGTATCTCATGGGGAAGGAGCCAGCCCCTTAAAGAATGATATGGCATAATGAGTCGTGTGTGCGTTCCATTATCTAATATCCGATTCAACCTTAATTGGCTTAATTTGATTTCCGCCCCTATCACATGTCCACCCCAAAAATTGTGAACACTACTACTACGCGAACGTTTCCGAATTGTCTATAATTTCGGCCTAATTCCAATCTTTATGAAACGTTTCCAATATTTTCCACCCATTTTTGAACCATTTCCAAAGTTCTTTACGCAGTCTAGAAACATTTTCAAATTTTCCTGCACTTTTCTACTTGCCTACAAAAATATTTCCAAAATATTAAAAAATTTTTGGGAAATCGAATCTCCATAGGAAAACGGTTTGGTTTTCCGTACACATTTCTATAATAGTCCAGGCTAAATAGCACTAAAATCATTTATTTTAAAAAAAAATTAGTTACCGGGCGAAACCGGGTTTTTCAAGCAGGTGAAATGAATAGAAATTGGGAAAAAATAATTAAAACAGCTGAATTTTTCCGCGGGTGAAATTACGGGGGTTGAAATGGGTGGAAAGTGGTATTTTGCAAATTGTGGCAAAACTATTGATTTTAGACGAAAATGTTAAATGTAAAAGTTATAGAGATTAAAAAAATGAGCAACTTTTGTATCTGCACTATTTTCACATAACCTCAAATTTTCCTAGAAAAACCGGAAAAACTGTCTTTTTCGTTTTTTATTCTTATTTTTGCAAAAAAATGTCGTAGGGGTTTGAAATTTGGAGGTAACATAACCTGTTTTATGATAAAACAGAAGAAAATTGTTTGGGCCTATAAAGTTGAACCGTTTCCAAGATCTCACGATTTCTGTAAAAAATCACCTCTTTTTCAAGGGGATGAAAAATATATTTTTTTTCATCGTACAGAGGTGCGCGGGGCTTTTTTGCAAATAAATTAACGTGTTGGATCCGCGCTAATAAACAGTTTTGGAAATCTGTCTTCTCTCTCCTCTTTAATGTTGCTAAAATATTTTCTTTTGTTTCCCAGTGCCCAACTGCCTTAATTAAAACATCTTTATTGTTTCTTTTTTCTGCATTTTTACCGCAATAAAAGTAATTTGAAGTAAAATCGAATTCTTTTGCTTCCTGAACAATATGTTTTTGTTCCCTAACTCTTCTTCCTGCCTGTTTTACAGCTGATGGGATTAAACTGGGCCTGTTGATCGTTAATTTATAGGAATTATGAATAAAATCCTCATAAAGTTTATTCCTGCAGGTTTGACATCTCAAATCATTTGCTTTTGGCCGGTAAAACCAACGTTCTTATTGCAGATTTTGCAAGTTTATCAACAGGCCCAACGCAATTGCATCAGCTATAAAACAAGCAGGAAGAAGAGTCGGTGAACAAAAATAAATTCTTCAAGAATCAGGAAGCAAGATACATAATTCGATTTTATTTCGAATTGCTTTTATTGCGGTAAAAATGCAGAAAAAAGAAATAACAAAGATGTTTTAACTAAAACAGTTGAGCATAAGATAACAAAAGAGAATATTTAGGCAAACATTAAAGAGAAGGAAGAAGACAGATTTCGAAAAAATCTTTATTAACATCCAACATCTTGATTTATCATGTCAAAAACCGTGTATATCTTAAAACTGTTTTTCCGGTTTTTGGGGAATTTCTCGAATTTTTGCTATAGGAATAGTATTTTTTTATTTTTGTTTATTAAAATATAAGTCCTCCCGAAAATTTTGCTACCCTGCGCACCTCTGTACGATGAAAAAAATAGATTTTTCATCCCCTTGAAAAAGAGGTGATTTTTTCAGAAATCGTGAGATCTTGGAAACGGTTCAACTTTATGGGCCCAAACAATTATCTTCTGTTTTATCATAAAACAGGCTGTTATCTCCAAATTTCAAACCCCTACGACATTTTTTCGCAAAAATAAGAATAAAAAACGAAAAAAACAGTTTTTCCGGTTTTTCTAGGAAAATTGGAGGTTATGTGAAAATAGTGTAGATACAAAAGTTGCTCATTTTTTTAATCTCTATAACTTTTACATTTAACATTTTCGTCTAAAATCAATAGTTTTACCACAATTTGCAAAATACCACTTTCCACCCCTTTCAACCCCCGTGATTTCACCCGCGGAAAAATTCAGCTGTTTTAATTATTTTTTCCCAAATTCTATTCATTCCACCTGCCTGAAAAACTCGGTTTCGCCCGGTAACTAATTTTTTTCATACAAAAATATTATATGGACTATAATTTCTCACAAATTTCAATATTTTCGAATCATTTTTTGAACCATTTTCAAAATTCTTTAAACAGTCTGGAAAGATTTTCGAATTTTCCTGCACTTTTTCCTGAAGCATCTGCAATATCATACAACATTTCCTACAAAAAATATTAAACGGCCAACCGCAAATCGATGTTTCTTGGAAATAGGGGAGAGAATGTGAAAAACCGTTGTATAATATTCCTACAGTTAGCGAGAGCAACATCACAATCTAAGTGGTGACCCAAAGACGAGGATCGGTGAAAATCGCAGTGGAATTATAAATTGTTTTACCAAAAAATTAACATTTATACAGGGTGTTCCATGTAAAATTTGCACCCTCGTAATAAATCAGTATTGTATCGCTCCATCTCATCTGGAATTTTTCGAAAGAGTCCCAGGCTCCCCGCTTCTACCTTCGTCCCCAGAAACGTTTAATACCCTATTCAGAAGAGTCTTTGAGGGTGAACGTATCTTTGCCCCTCCCCCCCCCCAATGTACGAAGGTCTGATTTCAGTTGTCAATAAATGAAGATGGAATATTTCTTTTCTGGGGAGTATTTCCTTAGCAATTACACCGCAATTTGTTGTCGTAGAGGTGAACGTATCACGGGGGGGGGGGGGGGGTCCGTTAACTTAGCCCCCCCACTGAGAGATTTCATAGTCGTATTATTTTGAAATGAATGCGCTCGTTATGCGCTCATATGCGCCACCGATAATAACTCTTGCGCCATTATCGTTTTTTAGAAATCCGAAAAAACATTTGGGGGGGGGGGGCAAGTGAACGTAGCCCCCCCCCCCAGTACGTATTTTGTCCCTTGTAACTAGGTCACCTGATACATTTGGTTATGCGCTCAATTGCGCCACTTGAATTAAAGCTAGCGCCATTACGGTTAAGCCGTGACAAATTTTCAAAAAGTGGGGGGGCCAACTTAACGTTTTTAAAAGTTACTTTTTTTTAACATCGTTTCATACGAAATTGTACTCTCAGGTATGCGGAGGGTCTAGCTTAGCGTCTTCAAAAGTTATTTACGGAAGTGCGCCCATTTTGAAAATATTTTACATCGATTCGGCCTTCGGAGTAACTCCTAAATACAAATTTTTAAAAACCTACCTATTTTACTTTCCCAGAATTGTTTAACTAAAGCTCCCAAAAAAACACCCTGTATAGTGTTTCTGAAACACTATAATGGCGCCAAGATTTTTGTTTACGGCGAATTTTAGCGCATGATGAAAGGTACGATGTAGTAGAAAAAAACATGTTAAAAAACGTAACTTTTGAAAACGTTAAGTTAGCCCCCCCCACTTTTTAAAAATTTTTTATGGCTTAACCGTAATGGCGCTAGTTTTAATTCAAGTGGCGCAATTGAGCTCATAACCAGATGTATCAAGTGGCACAAATACCGGTAGCAAAATGCGTTATGGGGGATTCCGTTCACTTGGCCCCCCCCCCAAATATATTTAAGGATAACCAAAAAACAATAATGGCGCAAAGATATCTTTTTACGGCGCATTTCAGCGCATACCTGAGAGTACAATTTCGTATGAAAAGATGTTAAAAAAAGTAACTTTTAAAAACGTTAAGTTGGCCCCCCCACTTTTTGAAAATTTGTCACGGCTTAACCGTAATGGCGCTAGCTTTAATTCAAGTGGCGCAATTGAGCACATAACCAAGTGTATCAGGTGACCTAGTTACAAGGGACAAAATACGCACTGGGGGGGGCTACGTTCACTTGGCCCCCCCAAATGTTTTTTCGGATTTCTAAAAAACGATAATGGCGCAAGAGTTATTATCGGTGGCGCATATGAGCGCATAAAGAGCGCATTCATTTCAAAATAATACGACTATGAAATCTCTCAGTGGGGGGGGGGCCAAGTTAACGGACCCTCACCAGGGAGTGTTGGGGGTATGAAAAACTCCCCAGGTCTGATTTCAGTAGTAGGTAAATGAACGTTGACTATTTCGATTCCAAACCCCAGAAATACCAGCTATTGGGAAAAGATATCACCTGGCAATCTGTGAACAAGGAGTAACATAGACTATTTTCAGGTGACGAAACTCTACATCCGCAATTTACCTCTACAGTACAACGAGTCGATCATACGCGCGTTGCTTCGTAAGATAATCGACGACGCCGCTATCACTAAGATACACCAGATCAAGGATTACGCATTTATACACTTTTTCAATCGCGAATCTGCCGAATTCGCCATGACCATGTTGAAAAGTACGTATTGCATTTACCAGGGCTGGGCTCGAATGCTTTTACTTTCCAGACACCGCCATTTTGGGGGAGGAGGTCGAAGTGGACTGGGCACGTCCGGCCAAATACAGCAAGTTTCAACGCATGAACGCACCGGCACAAAACTTCTGCACGTACGTATGCCTGACTAGTGACTACAGTCGTTTACACTAAAGATAAGCTTCAAATTCTGACCATCTCTTTCTGGCTCATGTGTTGACATGTGATAGAGAATAAAGAACTCGTTTGAAATTGGTTCACAAACTAATGACATAAAGCTCATCTTTAGCTTTCGCTTTAGTTATTATTTTTGTTACATTTTTGTTAGTTTTTCTATATTTCTGTGCGGCTTTTATTGAACAATATTTAAGTTTGTCCTGTATTTAGACTAGATAGTCTGTTTGGACAATAAATTATTATTATTATTATTTAGTACAAACGACTGTAGGCGATTTGGATAATCGATTACTAAAAAATTGCGGATTGAGAGTCGATCAGTAATCGATTCATTAATTTTTGCCGTAGCTTCTGGATGTACGAATTCTTCTCATGATTTCAGGTCGGTCCCGCCACGCATGCGAAAAATTGTGCAGGAACGCAAGCTGTCCCTGAGCAGGGAGACGGCGGCGCTCAGATCGCCATCAGGGACCGATAGCCCTGGTGAAAATTCCAGTCTCTGCGTAAGTCGCAAAATGTCCAGACGGTACTCGCTCTTATTAAAGTTCGTTTTTTTTAGGATGGCACTTTTCAGTTGTGGAACACCGAGCCCCTAATCGACACCGCCTTATTGTCAATGCACATTTCTGACTGACTGAATTTTTCGATTTCGCATGATTAAATATTGATATTCTTGATTCATTCTACCAACATTGTTGAATTCGCTATTTGGGCTCAATTATAATTTTTACACTCTCAGAAATTTTATTTTAATTTAATGAGGTTGTGGAACATTCATTAACTGTATCCGATATAATTGCTTATTAATTTTTTTTTTATGTCAATGGTTCATTTTAATTCTTTGTGTTCTATTGTATCTATTCTAAATAAAATGTGCCTATAGTATCTCTCAATTAAAAACTAGATTCGCAAACTTTGAAACCCTAGGTCCTAGGACATTTATTTATCCCTCTCCCTTCGTACTTTTTCGATCAGACTTCAATAAAAAGTTATGGACAAAAAACAAATTTCGAAAAAAAATTCAAAGGGCTGTAACTTTTGATCTAGTAGCCCAATCTTCAAACTGTTTGAAATTATGGATTCTACAGGCCCCATTCTATAAGGAAAATTTTTTCCGGGTCGATCTGAGACAATTTTTTTTGCGAGCCTCAAAAAAAGGCAGTGTACGACCTTCCTTTTTTACCAAAAATCGACTGCACCAAAATTTCTCGGGAAAACACTTTTTCTTATTAATTTTGGTGCGTAGAATCCAAAACAATTCGTACGTTTTCGGATAGACCTCTCAATAAAAAGTTATGGACAAAAAAGTACAAATTTCGAAAGAAAATTCAGTAGCCCAATCTTCAAACTGTTTGAAATTATGGATTCTACAGGCCACATTCTATAAGAACATTTTTTTCCGGGTCGATCTGAGACAATTTTTTTTGCGGGCCTCAAAAATCAACTACACCAAAATTTCTTGGGAAAACACTTTTTCTTATTAATTTTGGTGCGTAGAATCCAAAACAATTCGTACTTTTTCAATTAGACTTCTCAATCAAAAGTTATAGACTAGAAACCAATTTCGAAAGAAAATTCAAAGGGCTGTAACTTTTGAACTAGTAGCCCAATCTTGGAACTGTTTGAAATTATGGATTCTACAGGCCACATTCTATAAGAAAATTTTTTTTCCGGGTCGATCTGAGACAATTTTTTTTGCGGGGCTCAAAAAAAGGCAGTGTATAACCTTCCTTTTTTACCAAAAATCGACTGCACCAAAATTTCTCGGGAAAACACTTTTTCTTATTAATTTTGGTGCGTAGAATCCAAAACAATTCGTACTTTTTCGATCAGACTTCTCAATCAAAAGTTATAGACTAGAAACCAATTTCGAAAAAAATTCAAAGGGCTGTAACTTTTGAACTAGTAGCCCAATCTTGGAACTGTTTGAAATTATGGATTCTACAGGCCCCATTCTATAAGAAAATTTTTTTTCCGGGTCGATCCGAGACAATTTTTTTTTGCGGGCCTCAAAAAAAGGCAGTGTATAACCTTCCTTTTTTACCAAAAATCGACTGCACCAAAATTTCTCGGGAAAACACTTTTCTTATTAATTTTGGTGCGTAGAATCCAAAACAATTAGTACTTTTTCGATCAGACTTCTCAATCAAAAGTTGTGGACTAGAAACCAATTTCGAAAGAAAATTCAAAGGGCTGTAACTTTTGAACTAGTAGCCCAATCTTGGAACTGTTTGAAGTTATGGATTCTACAGGCCACATTCTATGGAAAAATTTTTTTCCGGGTCGATCTGAGACAATTTTTTTTGCGGGCCTCAAAAAAAGGCAGTGTATAAACCTTCCTTTTTTACCAAAAATCGACTGCACCAAAATTTCTCGGGAAAACACTTTTTCTTATTAATTTTGGTGCGTAGAATCCAAAACAATTCGTACGTTTTCGATAGACTCTCAATAAAAAGTTATGGACAAAAAACAAATTTCGAAAAAAAATTCAAAGGGCTGTAACTTTTGAACTAGTAGCCCAATCTTGGAACTGTTTGAAATTATGGATTCTACAGGCCCCATTCTATAAGAAAATTTTTTCCGGGTCGATCTGAGACAATTTTTTTTGCGGGCCTCAAAAAAAGGCAGTGTATAACCTTCCTTTTTTACCAAAAATCGACTACACCAAAATTTCTTGGGAAAACACTTTTTCTTATTAATTTTGGTGCGTAGAATCCAAAACAATTCGTACTTTTTCGATCAGACTTTTCAATCAAAAGTTATAGACTAGAAACCAATTTCGAAAGAAAATTCAAAGGGCTGTAACTTTTGAACTAGTAGCCCAATCTTGGAACTGTTTGAAATTATGGATTCTACAGGCCACATTCTATAAGAAAATTTTTTTTCCGGGTCGATCTGAGACAATTTTTTTTCGGGGCTCAAAAAAAGGCAGTGTATAACCTTCCTTTTTTACCAAAAATCGACTGCACCAAAATTTCTCGGGAAAACACTTTTTCTTATTAATTTTGGTGCGTAGAATCCAAAACAATTCGTACGTTTTCGGTTAGACCTCTCAATAAAAAGTTATGTACAAAAAACAAATTTCGAAAAAAAATTCAAAGGGCTGTAACTTTTGATCTAGTACCCCAATCTTCAAACTGTTTGAAATTATAGACACTCGATCGATCTCGATCTCAGACAATTTTTTTTCCGGCCTCAAAAAAAGGCAGTACTTTTAAGTTATTCAAATATTTGAGAACAATTTAGAAATGTTTAGGGAAAGTTTCCATTGTCACAAAATCAAATATAAAAATCCGATACATCTGAATACCGAACTCGATAGTCTCCGTAACTTAAAAACAATAGGGACGTTTCTTATATCCTTAAGACCATATGTACCAATTTTCAAAGCGATCACATGTTTCTAAACAATTGTTATCATGCACACGGACAAACGGATTGTCAAAAATGGATCTGTTCCAAAATCGCTAGGATTAATTTCAGAGAGGCGTACGTATCATGTGCACGACGCTTTGAAAACTGGTACACATATTCTTAAGGATGTAAATGGTATAAGAAAGGTCCTGGTAGGTACCTCCTATATAATTATATAATAATAATAATACGCTTTCACTCCCCTTAAATTTGTATATAACAATAGAAATATAAAAAAACTAACCCCATACAAAGTATAACGTGATTTTTTAAGTAGTATTAAGCCTTTTATCTAGAATACTATTTTAAATTTTTAATGTATTTGAGTGAGTATTTGAATACTGATTTTTTAAAGTATCTGTATCTAGTATTCGCTTGTGCTGGACGTAAAAGTATTTAGTATTCAAATACTTTTTGAAAGTATTCTGCCCAGCTCTGGTAGGTACCATTTTTCATTATTGCTGTATCATTAATCGCCCTGTATAACATACAGACATAGGTACCAACATCTTAAACTAGGAACTTTCTTGATATCCGCCGTAGCAATCTCCAAAAAAAAATTACCGGCGTATAACTTAATTTAATATTGCCCCTATTTCAAACAATTGACACAATTTTCATCATTTTGAAAACGCAAGGTCTCTAAAAATGTAATGAGCAACGGAGACGAAACAATTCCCCAAACGGAATTTCCCAATTTTGAATTTGCCACCCCTGGAGGTTACCAAATCTAATGTTATTGGTAGAAATGAAATGCCAATGCATCAGTTTATCTTTGACCGTTGTAGAGTCAGGTGTCAATCGATTCGCAAGTGTTTAGTTTTTTTTTCAATTTCAAACAAAATGGCAACGCTTCCACCCTTAAAACATTCCAAGGCCACCGCGGAATCTAAAAGGTACCAAGCTTTGCTAGAGTTTATGGAAAATAACAATTTGCAAATCGTGCAATTTAACGGTCAACGCGTCACCACCCCTCGCAACATCAACATGGCGGCTCCGGAACGCGGTTCCGAAATATTCATCGGGAAAATACCGCGCAGTATCTTCGAGGACGAGCTGATTCCTTTGTTTGGACATGCCGGCGTGATCATTAAGTTTCGCCTGATGCTGGATTTTTGCGGACTCAATCGCGGCTACGGTTTCGTTACCTACGCTAGCGCGGGAGACGCGGATCGTGCCGTCGCCATGATGGATCGTTACGAGATACGCCACAATCGACATATAGGGGTGTACAAGTCGATCGATAATCGTAGATTGTTCATGGGCCACGTTCCCGTCGACAAGACCAAGCAGGAGATCTACAGGGTTCTCAACGAGTACGTCGACGGAATTACGAATATCATCATGTATCCGGCCCAAATTTTGGGGGACGTTAATCGCGGTTACGTTTTCATCGAATTTGCCGATCACAAGGCGGCCGCCATGGCCCGACGACAGCTTCGTTCCGGCTTGGCGCTGTGGGACAGCGAGATCGCGGTTGATTGGGCCGATCCCATTCCGGAAGTCTCTGAGGAGATTATGAGCCAGGTAGGGCACCCTTTCCGTTTTTTCTGTACACAGCCAACTGATTGAACTTGTTATTTCAGGTAAGTGACCTGTGGGGGGAAGGGGTTTGAACCTCGCCCTGGCGTTGTCCATTGGTCAAGAGCACAGGTGCGACAGGTATACTGGTCGACGTGAAAAGGTAACATTTTTTTCTGATGCGGTAACTTGAAGGAGGAGCCGCGGAGTCGGCCATTTTGATGGTTTTTTTTTTTATAACTTTAACTTGTTTTATCTTAATCGCTGAATATGAATAAGCAGTTTTTTAGGTGTGATTTACATCCTGCATTGAAGTTTCTGCTGAAACTGCTGAAATGAGATCACATGCTTGTACCATGATAAAAACGATAGTTGTTTTATTTGGTGTTTATTTTTTTCTTTCGGATACCATTGTTCGGTCATATAATTTTCATGGCCATTTTCGTAGTTAAATGAAAGGGTGGTATTTATTTTGGGAAAGATGAAACACCAGGAAGTAAAAGTTTCGCCAGGGAAGGATGCCGGTCACAGCACACCTGAAGCTGGTAACAATCGAATGACCGGTGTCAAGTGTTCTTTGACCGGGATTCTTTTTTGGCGAGAGCTACACTATTGTTATTAATTATTCATCTCAAATAAAAAGATGGATTCAACATTTTCAAATTTCCTGCACTTTTCTAACGTTTACATTTTTATATAACATCTTACAAAATGCGCGTGTGAAGAAATTTCGAAAAATTTTGCAAAAACAGCTTCCAAAAACTTAGAATATCCATTAATTCTCCTACATTATTCGCGACTCTAATTAACAGTGAGACCTCTGGTGGCAGCACATTGTAATTACTATTGGTGGTATACTTCCCCCATTTTGATTATTTACAATGGCCAAAAGTAATCACAATTGTACTTTTTATGACTGTAATCAATGTCATTATACCTTAAATACCAGGGATAAATTAAAACGTCACATTTTACTACGTTACTTTCAAGAATTTTAAATGTGATCAGTGCAAGTATGCAACCAACAATAAGGATAATTTAAGAAATCGTCGTCTAACGCATTATTTCCAGTCTTATCACTGCTATCATTGTAATTACGCCACAATATTAACACACAACCTTCTCAAAGATTGTTTTTCTGCGAACCACAAATAAAAGAGACCATTTTCAGGTGAAGAAACTCTACGTCCGGAATTTACCTCTATACTACAACGAAGCAATCATACGCATCTCTCTTTCTAAGATAATCGACGCATCCTCTATCGTTAAGATACACAAGATCAAGGACTACGCATTTATTCACTTCGACGACCGCCAAACTGCCGAATTTGCTATGAATATGTTGAAACGTACGTATTCTATACTGTTTTTAGTCATTTTACCTTTACTTGTTTATATTTTATCTACGTTTTGTCTTTTTTTAAATAATATTTTAAATTGTTTATAATCTATTTTATTCTATTTTAGTTAGCTACACGGTTTGTCTAGCTTTTATTTATTTGTAATTTTAAACTGTTTTTAATTGTGTATTATTCTTGTTTATCTATGCATTGTCTTAATTTATTATCTACTATATTGATTGTATATACCAGGACTGATCAAAAAAATACTTTTATATTCCAGTCAGCTCCATTTTGGGCGAGGAAGTCGAAGTCGACTGGGCCCGTCCGGCCAGATTCAGCAAGTTCCAGCGCATGAACGCACCTGCACCGAATTTCTGCACGTACGTATGCCTTCCTGGTCGTATAATCGATCCATCATTGAAAAAGTTTTTCTTCAAACTCTACGTATGATTTTAGGTCGGTCCCGCCTCGCATGAGAAGGATTGTGCAAGAATGTAGAAAGTCCATGAGTAGAGAGTCAACGGTCCGATCTACAGGATCCGATACCACTGTTGAGGGTTCCAGAGCCTACGTAAGTTGCTCAATTTCCAGACAGTACCGCTCTTACAGGTCGTGTTTTTTTTAGGATGGCACATTTGAATTGTCGAATGCCGAACGTCTAATTGACATCGACACCGCCCTATTGTCAGCGCACGTTACCAATTAAAGTTATAATTTTTCGTTTTCGCATGATCTTATTTAATTCTTGATTAGTGTCTTAATTTTATCACTAATTTTTGATTTCCCTATTTGGGGGCACTTATATACTTTTATGCCTTTTGAAGTTTATTTCTAATTTAATTATGTTGATGCGGAACTTTTATTAATTGTTGAGTGGATGTAATTGGTTCATATTAATTCATTATGTTCTATATTGTATACCTATTCTTAATAAAAGATGCATAATATACTACATCTTGCTAAATAAAACTAGGAAAACGTAAAGTATGATAGAAAACGTACTTCGTAGCACTGTATAGCTACATAGCCGCTGGTCGGGTGTTTTTTTTCGGGTCGATCTGACAATTTTTTTTTTGCCAAAAAAAAGGCAGTGTATAAATAACCTACCTTTTTTTTACCAAAAATTATGACAGCGCCAATCGGTAGCGCTGGTCGAGACCTTTCCAACGAGGGGTCGGAAGGCATATCTACGACGCACCGTTCTCGAGATATTCCAGTTTGAAGTTTCGACCAAAAATTCTGACACTCGAGAACGGTGCGTCGTAGATATGCCTTCCGACCCCTCGTTGGAAAGGTCTCGACCAGGGCTATCGATTGGCGCTGTCCAGGGGGTAATCACCAGACCCAAAATTTGTACAATACTTCCCCTTCGGGAGAAGTCCTCTAGTACTTCCTCTTAACTTCCCTATACTTCCCCGTACTTCCTAGTACTTCCCAGTACTTCCTTGTACTTCCCCCAAACTTCCCTTGTACTTTCCCGAAATTCTACTGTAAGTAGACATTGATATAGACTTTATAGATTTGCTTCTTGAGTGTTATACGTAGTAACGCTTATAACGTGTCCACGAAAATGCATTACATGCGAATGGATGTGAAATGCATACTATAGGTACATGAAATGAAAAATTAGAAAGAATTTTTAATATGAAAGAAATCAAGACATAAATAATTGTCCTGCCAGCATTTATTGCAAAATTTTATAATAAAAACATATGTACGGAACAATAATTTATAGATGGATACTTAACAATACTAATTTATCGGTAATCACGCAAACCGCTACCTAAAAGTATTCAGATTCCCATTAATAATTGAAATCTGAAAATGTGCATACTAACATAGTTTTCCATGATCTATCGAAAGAAAATATTATCATCATTGTGTCACTTCCAGTTTTAACGGATGTGGATAGTTTTTAAAGAGAACACCCTATATTTTATTTCCGTCATCTACATGAAGATCTACGTCGTTTGATACCACATTTCCCTATATCCAGCATCAAAGGTTTTCAAGCTATTCAAGATTTTTCAAAATTTCTGTTTAAATCATTATTAGGTTAGGGGTTGATATTATTGATATTTTATGTGATTATGTAACAGTACATTATATACCAAGGTAGAGAAGTCTAGTATTATTGCCTAAGCACGAAGATTACACCCTGAGGCGCTTGCGCCGAGGGATGTAATGTAAGGTGCGTAATAGACTTATCTATCGTGGTGTCTTAAATTGAGTAGGATAACATGGCTATCTTTGTTATTATTATACTTACAAATTCGGTTAAATTGGAAAAGTTTACGTGTAGTCTTTGATGTTGATGCATATTCCGATGCGATATTTTGAAAAAAATAATTCGTTTCGTAGTAGATAATTGGAAAAATGTGAAAATCGTTTCAAATAAAAGTTGCAAAATTCGATCGAATAAATTCAACGGATATTCAATAGAATTTTTTTTTCAAAATGGCGGTTTTCGAGATATTGACATCAACTACCTTGTTTTGAATGCACGCCATATTGGATTTTTAAGTCACTCCATAGAGAAAAAATTACAAAACCAGTGATACTAAACACTTAGTATTTCATTTGGGAATCAACCTTACATTACATTTTTGCCTCGAAGTTTACAATGTATTTCTTATGGCAATAATTCCATGGCCGATTGTGATTGAAACCAAATTCGTTCGTTAGTTGTCTCGCTAGCTGGTTTTGTATTTTTGTCTCTATCGAGTGACGTAAATGTCAAATATGGCGTCCATTTAAAATAAGGAATTTGATGTCAATATCTGGAAATCCGCCATTTTGAAATTTTTTTTCTACACTCATTGAATTTATCCCATCGAATCTTGCAACTTTTATTTGAAACTTTTTTCGATAGCTCTGTTTGTTACTAAAATATTTGAATTTTTTAAAAATGGCGATTTTTCATTTTTTATCAATTACCTACGAAACCATTTATTTTTTCAAAATCTCGCATCGGAATCGGAATATCCATTAGCATCAAAAACTATACAACTGTTCCAATTTAACCAAATCTGTAAGTATAATAATAACAAAGATGGCCATGTAAGGTATCTACTCAATTTAAGACATCCTGTATACTACTTCTTCCACTACTAGTAACGGGCGATCAAAAATGAGTTACTATCGAATCGCCTTTGGAAATTCAAGTTAAGTAGGTACGATTTACCATGTAAACAAAAATTCCAAAGGCGACTCGACAGCAACTCATTTTTGATCGCATAGTACTTGAAGTCCTCTAAATTAACAGATCTATATTGTTAAAAAGTGAACTTGAACAGAATTTTTGGTTTATTAATTTAATATGTCAATTACGTGGATGGAAGTAACAGTCAAGGAGGCCGTATTTTCTTCTGCTATTGAGATATTTTTAAAGAGTAGTTTCGTTCGAATTTTTTCGAAATGTGATAATTGTATGTAATTTCTCTTGAAATGGCGGATGGTGGCAATTATTCATTTTAGAGAACTTATCTGAACGTTTATTGAGCGAAATTTCAGGTTGTGATTTCTAAAATTGACAGCGTGACAGTTCTCATTATTGACTACTGGCTAATAATGACCACATTATTAACTACTTTGAACAACTGGCGAGAAAGCCTGCTTTACAAGTGGAAAAAAGGTTAATAATTATATTATCAGACGCTAGTAGTGAAACAACAGGTTTTGATTTGAGGTATCTATATAGATAATCACAATCATAGGTGTTGACTTTTTTGGAACGAGGCGGGATTTATGCACTCAGAAATAACTACTTTATTACTTTTTAAGTGTTTACCAGATTTTACCTCTCCGGTCACCTTCTGTCACATTACGCATCATATGAACAGATGAGTACTTCCTCGTTACTTCCCCGTACTTCCCCGAACTTCCCTGTACTTCCTCATAACTTCCTCCATTCTGTACAATTACTTCCCCTGGTGTTTACCCCCTGGCGCTGTCAGAATTCGACCAAAAATTCTGACAGCGCCAATCGGCAGCGCTGGTCGAGACCTTTCCAACGAGGGGTCGGAAGGCATATCTACGACGCACCGTCCTCGAGATATTCCGGTTTGAAGTTTCGACCAAAAATTCTGACAAACCGTAATATCTCGAGAACGGTGCGTCGTAGATATGCCTTCCGACCCCTCGTTGGAAAGGTCTCGACCAGCGCTATCGATTGAATTCGACCTTCTTTAGATCGGTTTCGAGCATTCTTCCGGCTACTCTGAGTTAGGTTTTCCTAATTCGTAAAGTAAATACCGGCGTAGTAGAGCCCAATACAAGAGGGACAATAAATAAAAATGAAACAAACGAAAAATTGGAGCAAGTACACGCCGTTCAAGTATCTCGGAGTAATCATTAATGGACCAGCTGAATCAAGAAGCCGAAGTCAAGAGCAGAATCGAACAAGCCAAATGGAAAACGCTTCGAAATGTGGTTCTACCGAAGAATGGTGGAAATCCCGTGGACGGCCAAGATAACAAACGCACAGATCTTGCAGGATTGCACACGGACTGGGGCTTGCTCAAAATCATCATCACCAGGAAATGCAAATATCGCTAGGAACCACCAAAAATACTAACTACTGCCACTCATCGTGGAGGGCCTGGCTAGATAACATCAACACCTGGCTTCACATAACAAAAGAACAAATTTTACACAGTGCTAGACAGAGAACAATATCAAAATGAAGTCGTGAACGCCATTCGGCAGCATTAAAGAAGAAGAAAAAATAATACACGTTCATCTTCTCTTGGGGACCACTGCTTTATTTTTTCGTGAAGTGAAAGACGTGGCACACGTCACGCACTTATATAGTCTGTGACTAATAAAAACGTCCCAAATGTACATTCATTTGCAACAAATAAAACCCAAAACCATCTACTAACACAGTAAAGGGATGGTTAAAAAAAAATGAGAATTACGTTTCCTTTTGTTCAGAACAATCATCACTTGGATTTCATTTTAAAATTTCGCAATTCCCTAAAAAGTTCTAAATTCGTACCTTGCATTCTGTTAAAAGTTCCATGGTACCATATCCCGTATCCCTTTCTGGACCATGGCCACTAAATTCACAATTAGTTCAAAACTGTACTATACGCGCACGTAACCGCGGTCACTAAACTACTATTTAGCATAAATTGAATTAAATCATTGTACTTGTTATCAGCGGAACGGGTTTCTTTAACGTCAAGGTAGATATACGTAAATTCCAAACGACCATAAATGTCACTAACCCCGAAATGTCCATTTCGTTCATTGCGAACATGCAATTTCTATCAAAAAAAACACCAACTCATCTTAATAATATGGGGTAGAATGCTCACAGGTACTCGGAAAAATAATTTTTTGATGTTTGCTTTTTTCATTAAAAAAATAAACCTTCCTGAAAGCGTTTCCAAAAAGATTTTACAAGGAAATCGTATTTCCATAAACGTTTTTGAATACTACACACGATACCCAAGAGGTTTTTAGGTAAGTTGACTAAGATTTCTCGCCAGCTTTTCCAGAGTTGTAGAAAGGTTTTGAAAACGTTTCTCAAGTAGATTTTCCACTTCATTTTCTAGGGAATACACAGAATGGAAGCAGTAATTAGAAACAAAATTTCCAAATTGTCTTTCTTAAAAAAACGGTTCCTAAGAAAATTTCTAAGATCGTCAATCTCCTATCCAACACCCGCAAAAAATCTTAGCAGCATGAGCTATAGCACCGATTGTTCTGTGTTCCTTTCTTTTCTTTGTTCCTTTCATTTTTTGAATCGATATAATCGTTCTAACTAAGAAAGTCTTAGGGCCACACTCGTAAATCTCATTATACTTCATGGCCTCTAACAACCTCACATAAATTTCGATGAGTCTTTCAGAACCTTTTAGGGTTCTTGTGATGTTCTCCTTTTTTTAAGCGCCAATTCTTAAAACCTTTTAATAATTCATTACATGCTTAGGTAGGTATATGGGCATTTATTTTAAGAGACCTGAAGGAAGCCAAACTGTCTTCAAGGACTTCTAACTACCTCAAATAGTCTCGACGAGTCTTCCAGAAGCGTATAGGGTTCTTATTACTCTTTAAAAGTGCCAATTCTTAAATTTTTTTACGAGTCCTCAAATTCATTTAAGGGTATTTAAGTCCCATTAATGGACCTAAACAGCCCTCAAGAATTTCTAACAGCTTCAAATAGTCTCGACGAGTCTTTATGATTTTCTTCTCTCTTTAAGTGTCAGTTCTTAAGACGTTCTATGAATTCTAAATGCCTTTAAGCGTATTTAAGAGCCATCAATGGACCCACACTCCCACAGTATTCAATGGCAACCTCAAATATCTCGACGACTGTTCCAGAAACTTTTGGGGTCTTTATCATTCTTTCTCTTTTAAGTATCAATTCTTAAGACCTTTTATGCGTCATTTTAATGGGCATTTAAGAGTCGCTAATGGCCCAAGACTTCCACCAACCCCAAATAGCCGCGCAGAGTCTTCCAGAAGCTTTTGTCACTTTATGATTCCCTCCTCCTCTTCAAGCGCCAATTCTTAAGACCTTTTATGAGAATTTAAATGCTTTTATGGTCATTCAAGAGCCATTAAGGAGCTCAAACAGCCTTCAACGACTTCCAGAAAAATTCTTCAGATACACTGCTAGCTTTAAAGATCTCTCTGCGATCTGCAGCCCAGTAAAAATTAACCGAGAGAATAGGTAATAATAATAATAATAATATTTATTAGTATTTTAGTGCGGTTCTTGCGAAAGCACTAAAATAAACGTCAAAAGATTTACAATAAGCCAAATACGTTTTAAACTAAGGTTTTACAAATTGATAGAATTCCTCCATATTATAAAAACAATTTGACACCAATCATTCTTTTAAATTTTGTTTATAGTTTATTTTTTTCGAGGATGTATTAATAAAACGTGATAGCGAGTTAAAAATTTTAGTTGCGTTGTAACAAAAGTTCTTCTCAAAAAGTGATGTCTTGTGGGATGTTGCTTGTATTAATTTTTTATTTCTAGTGTTATAGGTATGATCAGCGGTTTTGAAAATTGATTTGTGTGCGTAAACGTATGAGCAAATTTCCAATATGTAAGTATTCACCACAGTCATGATTTTCAGCTCCTTAAAGTATTCTCTACAAGATTGTTTGTAGCCTAAGTTGCATATTATGCGTATTGCACGCTTCTGAAGCCTCAGGATTCTTTCCACACTATGACAATAGCCCCAATTGATAATATTATATCTCACGTGAGAGTGAAAGTAGGAGTGGTATACCATCAATAATACTTCACGACTACATATATTTTTTAAAACACTAAGAGTGTAATAACATTTTTGAAGTTTCAGGCAGACAGTATCTACATGCGGGGACCAACGAAGGTGAGAGTCAAGAGTTAGTCCTAATATTTTGGTAGACGAAGCGCATGGTTGGCCTAACATTGAAATAATACCGGCAGGATTTCGAGTATGCGTAAAGTGAATAACACTAGTCTTGCTATGATTAATAATTAGCTGATTATCTTTACACCACGTACAACATCTATCAAAAATGAATTGAGTTTTATTTGCCAAGGATTCTTTATTTCTAGATTTAATTAGGATGTTAGTATCATCCGCGTAACATGTTACAAATATTTCGTCACTTTTACATTTACCAGAAATAAATGATGGAAAATCGTTCACAAATACGACAAACAAGGTTGGACCCAGGATAGAACCCTGTGGAACTCCAGATGTGACAGATACACAAGTTCTTCTTTCCCCCGATGGCATTTCTACAATTTGAGTTCTATTTGATAGATATGATTCAAATAAACTTAGAACATTCCCACGGGCGCCATATTTGTACAGTTTTTCTAGTAGTAAATTGTGATTCACCGTGTCAAAAGCTGATGAAAGGTCTATAAATAAGCCCACAGTGCTAATTCCTTTGTCTACCGCTGTAACAATTTCCGAAACAAATTCACACAAGGCGGTGTCGGTCGATTTATTTTTTACAAATCCATGTTGAAAACGATTAATAATATCAAAACGTAAAAGGTAGTCCCTTAATTGTGAATTAATGGCATGTTCAAAAACCTTTGAGAAGCTCGATAATAAGCTTATAGGCCTATAATTATTAATGTAGTGGGGATCATTCTTCTTGAACAGCGGTTTTACCAGAGCACACTTAAGTTGCGTTGGGAACACTCCGGTCACAAAAATAAGATTTAATATAAAACACAGTGGACTGGCAACTGCATGTTTGCATTTTTTTAAAAGATTTGAAGACACTTCGTCACAACCATATGAAAAAGACGATTTAAGCGCATCAATAATAGAGATTATATCCAAAGGAATAAGTGGTTTAAAAAATAAAGACGAAGATAATGCTACAGACAACTGCGGCACAGAATGAATTAAATTTGATTTGCTGTCTGTGTATAATTTAGTAAAATGAACACTAAACAAATTTGCAGCTTCCTGATTATTCACTAGACTGCCTCTGTCATAAATTTGTATTTGGGTTCCTTTAGTATTATTTCTATTGGTTAAGCTATTAACAATATCCCAAGTGGTTTTCGTTTTGTTATTAGAATTCAAAATTTTGTTATTATAATATCGCTTTTTTGCAACAAGAAGTTGCGTCTGATACAACTTATGAACGTAACGGTGAGCTTCTTTAAATCCTATGTGTAGTTTTGATAAATCACTAAACATTATAACCTTCACTCAACGTTATAACCTTCTTTTTAAGTTTCAGTAGATCACTATTCATCCAAGGACACGTACTCTTTTTATTCGGCAAACATTTTGTTAAAGGAAAGCATTCGTTGAAGGTATACTTAAATTTCTTAAAAAATATATGAAATGCATCATCCGAAGTAGATTGCGCATAAACTTCATTCCACTCTTCAGATAGCAATGAATTACAAAAACGATTATAATTAACGTTGGAAAACTTCCTTCGTCTAAATGTATTATCTAATTTGGCAACATTTCGAGTACTAGAAACTTTAAGTAGCTGAGCATTATGATCTGATAAGTCTAGGTTAATATTAAGGACAGTGGACGAAGATAGATTTTTAGTAATAAAAAAATTGTCAATACATGTTGCAGATGTCTTAAAAACACGAGTAGGTTCTTTTAGAGTTGGTAACAGAGCAAAGGCAGCAGTAATGTCTAAAAACGAGCTTGAATATATATTGTTCGTGTCTAAGAGATTAATATTAAAATCGCCTCCTATAATTAAAGACTTATTTAGGGTCGAGACTTCACTTAAGAGTTGTTCAAGCAGATTTAAAAATACGTTAACGTCTCCACTCGGTGGCCTATAAATCGCAATAACCACTAAGTTTAATCCTATTATCTCAATGCCACAAAATTCTAAGATACCTTCACAAGGTAGGGTGGGGGTTGTTAAAGTTTTTGTTAAGAGACCACATGAAGAAGAATTTACCTTCAGAGAAATCCCGAGTAAGTTTTTTGTTATTTCATCTAGAATACTTTCTAAATCAATAGTAATGTAGAAACTGAAGCTTTGTGAACCTATAAATCAACAATATGTAATTTGTTGGACTCTTGAAACACCCGAAAGTCGAAGTAAATCATAGAAGAACTGGGTATCTATCGAAATTCTTTCAAAAACCAGCACGGCGTGTTGTCTGACAAAAAGTGTCATTGTGTATTTAGCTAATGAACCAGGAGGGGGGTATGGAAGACGAGGACGATTGATATTTGCGACTTACTACAAATAGCAAACTCTTCATTTGCTATACGCTATAGGTACCTATCATTAATCTCCCTGCGACGCTAACATTTTAATTTAGGAACTTTCTTGTTGCTGGGCCTTTATAACACATGATGATTTTGTACCTTCAAACAATCGGCTCTTAATTTTGAGAGGATGTTCCAAAAAATTGCTGAATATTAAGCAAACGAAACGAGTAGCCAAGCGAAATTTTTGAATTTTGAATTTGCCACCTCTGACGTCACAATCACACGTAGCCAATACCAACAGTTGTTCGCCACAATCGCATTGGTAGAAATGGATCAGTTCCTCTTCGCGCTTCAGTTCCTCCTCTAGCTCCCATTGTGCAGTTAAGTGTTGATCGATTAGCAAGTGTTTTAGTTTCTTTAAACAAAATGTTACCGTTTCCGTACTTACGCCGTTCCAAGGCCACCCCGAATTTGAGAAGGTACCACAGTGCTTTATTCAATTTTATGGCTAATAATAATTTGGAAACCGTGGAATATAACGGCGAACGCGTCACCACCCCTCGCAATCGCCCAACGTTCGTCACGGACCGCGATTGTGAAGTATTCTTCCGCGAAATACCCCGCAACATCTTCGAGGACGAGCTGATTCCTTTGTTTGCACGTGTCGGCGCGATTACGAAATTTCGCTTGATGCTGGATGTTTCCGGATTTAATCTCGGATACGGTTTCGTTACCTACGCGGACGCTAGATCAGCAGATGGGGCGGTCGCCATGATCCACGATTACGAGATACGCTGCAATCGACATATCGTGGTGTACAAGTCGATCGATAATTGTCGATTAGTTATGGACGCCGTGCCCGCCGATAAGACCAACCTGGAGGTTTATGGCCTGCTCAAGGAGCGCGTGGATGGAATTGCCAGGATCATCTCGTATCCGGCCCGAATTTGCGGAATTACTAATCGTAGCTCCATTTTGATCGAATTTGTCAATCACGCGGCGGCCGCCTTGGCCCTACGGCGGCTTGGTTCCCGCTTCACTTTGTGGGATAAAGTTGTCTACGTTGATTGGCTCCATCCCATTCCGGAAGTCCCTTGGCAGATTATGAGCCAGGTAGGAAAACCGTTGCCTTATGTTCACAGTCTCTTGAGTCTTGATTTGCATACGTATTGTTATTTCTAATTTCTGGTAAGAGTGCAAGGGGGGGGGGGTATAACCTCGTCACTGCTGAGTGCTGATTTCCATTGCTCAAAAGCACTGGACAGATACGGGTCGCCATTATGAGGTTGTTTTCTATTGCAGTGCAGGTGGCTCCAGGAGGGCCATTTTAACTGTTTTTAGGTAGATTTTTTAGAGAACCTTGGAAGAACATAAAAAAACCCAGCCGAAACCCTGGATCGAGTTTTAGTATTTTTTCAATGCGGTATAACCTGTATATTTTAACGTCAATGTTTTGCATCTTTTCATTTTTTCTATAATTATATATTTCAACAATTTCTACCATTAGCAATTTTTATTGATTGCCTTAATTACCATGGATACAATAAACAAAATCTCCATGAATCCATGACCTACTATTCAAAAAAAAGTTGAAAAATAATGTCTTCATGGCTGAAATTAAAAAAAATATAGATTGTGATACATCAATCAATGTGATTAGGAAAAAATGAAAAAACAATTGACATTAAGATATACACGGTGTTGCATTAAACAAATGCCAACATTGGAAACGTTTTAACTGAAAATCCTACCGTTTCTTCTCATGAAATTTGTGAATAAAAGAAGATTTTGCTCTAGGACTTAATTTTAATCAAATAGAAAAAGCATAAAACTTAAGTTCCTTCCCCTGAAATAGCAGTGTCCTGCCGTTTTGCGCACGAAATTTGTTTACAAATGAAGATTTTGCTCTACCACTTAATTTAATACAATAAAAATGGCGTAAAATTTGGTTCTTTCTCATAAAATCAAAGTGTCCTGCCGTTTTTCCGATGAAATTAGTGAATAAATAAGGATTTTGCTCTACCGCTTATTAAATCAAACAGAAATTGCATAAAGTTTCGTTCCTTCCCATGAATTCACAGTGTTCTGCTGTTTTTCGCATGAAATTTGTGAATAAATGAAGATTTTGTTCTCCCACTTGATTTAATCAGACAGAAATGTCACAAAATTGAGTTCCTTCCCCTAAAATCGCAGTGTCCTGCCGTTTTGCGCACAAAATTTGTAAACAAATGAAGATTTTGCTCCACCACTTAATTTAATAAAATAAAAACGGCGTAAAATTTGGTTCCTCCTCATAAAATCAAAGTGTGCTTCCGTTTTTCCGACGAAATTAGTGAATAAATGATTTTACTCTACCACTTATTGAATCAAACAGAAATGGCATAAATTTTAATTCCTTTTCCCATGAAATCACAGTGTTCTGCTGTTTTTCGCATGAAATTTGTGAATAAATGAAGATTTTGTTCTCCCACTTGATTTAATCAGACAGAAATGTCACAAAATTGAGTTCCTTCCCCTAAAATCGCAGTGTCCTGCCGTTTTGCGCACAAAATTTGTAAACAAATGAAGATTTTGCTCCACCACTTAATTTAATAAAATAAGAACGGCGTAATTTGGTTCCTTCTCATAAAATCAAAGTGTTCTGCCGTTTTTCCGATGAAATTAGTGAATAAATGAAGATTTTGTTCTCCCACTTAATTTAATCAAACTGAAATGTCACAAAATTGAGTTCCTTCCCCTAAAATCGCAGTGTCCTGCCGTTTTGTGCACGAAATTTGTAAACAAATGAAGATTTTGCTCCACCACTTAATTTAATAAAATAAAAACGGCGTAAAATTTGGTTCCTTCTCATAAAATCAAAGTGTCCTTCTGTTTTTCCGACGAAATTAGGGCATAAATGAAGATTTTGCTCTACCACTTATTGAATCAAACTGAAATGGCATAAAGTTTAGTTCCTTCCCATGAAATCACAGTGTTCTGCCGTTTTCCACATGAAATTTGTGAATAAATGAAGATTTTGTTCTCTCACTTGCTTTAATCAAACAGAAATGTCACAAAATTGAGTTCCTTTCCCCTAAAATCGCATTGTCCTGCCGTTTTGCGCACAAAATTTGTAAACAAATGAAGATTTTGCTCCACCACTTAATTTAATAAAATAAAAACTGCGTAAAATTTGGTTCCTTCTCATAAAATCAAAGTGTGCTTCCGTTTTTCCGACGAAATTAGTGAATAAATGATTTTACTCTACCACTTATTGAATCAAACAGAAATGGCATAAATTTTAATTCCTTTTCCCATGAAATCACAGTGTTCTGTCATTTTTAGCATGAAATTTGTGAATAAATGAAGATTTTGTTCTCCCACTTGCTTTAATCAAACTGAAATGTCACAAAATTGAGTTCCTTCCCCTAAAATCGCAGTGTCCTGCCGTTTTGCGCACAAAATTTGTAAACAAATGAAGATTTTGCTCCGCCACTTAATTTAATAAAATAAGAACGGCGTAATTTGGTTCCTTCTCATAAAATCAAAGTGTTCTGCCGTTTTTCCGATGAAATTAGTGAATAAATAAAGATTTTGCTCTACCACTTATTAAATCAAACAGAAATGGCATAAAGTTTAGTTCCTTCCCATGAAATCACAGTGTTCTGCCGTTTTTCACATGAAATTTGTAAACAAATGAAGATTTTGCTCCACCACTTAATTTAATAAAATAAAAACGGCGTAAAATTTGGTTCCTTCTCATAAAATCAAAGTGTCCTGCCGTTTTTCCGATGAAATTAGTGAATAAATAAGGATTTTGCTCTACCACTTATTAAATCAAACAGAAATGGCATAAAGTTTAGTTCCTTCCCATGAAATCACAGTGTTCTGCCGTTTTTCACATGAAATTTGTGAATAAATGAAGATTTTGTTCTCCTACTTAATTTAATCAAACTGAAATGTCACAAAATTGAGTTCCTTCCCCTAAAATCGCAGTGTTCTGCCGTTTTGCGCACAAAATTTGTAAACAAATGAAGATTTTGCTCCACCACTTAATTTAATACTTAAAATAAAAACGGCGTAAAATTTGGCTCCATCTCATAAAATCAAAGTGTCCTGCCGTTTTTCCGATGAAATTAGTGAATAAATAAGATTTTATTCTACCACTTATTGAATCAAACAGAAATTGCATAAAGTTTAGTTCCTTCCCATGAAATCACAGTGTTCTGCCGTTTTTCACATGAAATTAGTGAATAAATGAAGATTTTGTTCTCTCACTTGCTTTAATCAAACAGAAATGTCACAAAATTGAGTTCCTTCCCCTAAAATCGCAGTGTCCTGCCGTTTTGCGCACAAAATTTGTAAACAAATGAAGATTTTGCTCCACCACTTAATTTAATAAAATAAAAACGGCGTAAAATTTGGTTCCTCCTCATAAAATCAAAGTGTGCTTCCGTTTTTCCGACGAAATTAGTGAATAAATGATTTTACTCTACCACTTATTGAATCAAACAGAAATGGCATAAATTTTAATTCCTTTTCCCATGAAATCACAGTGTTCTGTCGTTTTTAGCATGAAATTTGTGAATAAATGAAGATTTTGTTCTCCCACTTAATTTAATCAAACTGAAATGTCACAAAATTGTCAGAGTTCCTTCCCCTAAAATCGCAGTGTCCTGCCGTTTTGCGCACAAAATTTGTAAACAAATGAAGATTTTGCTCCACCACTTAATTTAATAAAATAAGAACGGCGTAATTTGGTTCCTTCTCATAAAATCAAAGTGTTCTGCCGTTTTTCCGATGAAATTAGTGAATAAATAAAGATTTTGCTCTACCACTTATTAAATCAAACAGAAATGGCATAAAGTTTAGTTCCTTCCCATGAAATCACAGTGTTCTGCCGTTTTTCACATGAAATTTGTGAATAAATGAAGATTTTGCTCTACCACTTACTGTAATCTTAACGAAATGGCATTAAATTTAGTTCTTTATCATGAAATCAAAGTGACCTTCCGCTTTTCCGACGAAATTAGTGAATAAATGAAGATTTTGCTCTACCACTTATTAAATCAAACAGAAATGGCATAAAGTTTAGTTCCTTTTCCCATGAAATCACATTGTTCCGCCGTTTTTCGTATGAAATTTGTGAATAAATGAAGATTTTGTTCTCCTACTTAATTTAATCAAACTGAAATGTCACAAAATTGAGTTCCTTCCCCTAAAATCGCAGTGTTCTGCCGTTTTGCGCACAAAATTTGTAAACAAATGAAGATTTTGCTCCACCACTTAATTTAATACTTAAAATAAAAACGGCGTAAAATTTGGCTCCATCTCATAAAATCAAAGTGTCCTTCTGTTTTTCCGACGAAATTAGTGCTTAAATCAAGATTTTATTCTACCACTTATTGAATCAAACAGAAATTGCATAAAGTTTAGTTCCTTCCCATGAAATCACAGTGTTCTGCCGTTTTTCACATGAAATTAGTGAATAAATGAAGATTTTGTTCTCTCACTTGCTTTAATCAAACAGAAATGTCACAAAATTGAGTTCCTTCCCCTAAAATCGCAGTGTCCTGCCGTTTTGCGCACAAAATTTGTAAACAAATGAAGATTTTGCTCCACCACTTAATTTAATAAAATAAAAACGGCGTAAAATTTGGTTCCTTCTCATAAAATCAAAGTGTGCTTCCGTTTTTCCGACGAAATTAGTGAATAAATGATTTTTTCTTCTCCCACTTAATTTAATCAAACTGAAATGTCACAAAAATGAGTTCCTTCCCCTAAAATCACAGTGTCCTGCCGTTTTTCACAAATTTGTAAACAAATGAAGATTTTGCTCCACCACTTAATTTAATAAAATAAAAACGGCGTAAAATTTGGTTCCTTCTCATAAAATCAAAGTGTCCTGCCGTTTTTCCGATGAAATTAGTGAATAAATAAGGATTTTGCTCTACCACTTATTAAATCAAACAGAAATGGCATAAAGTTTAGTTCCTTCCCATGAAATCACAGTGTTCTGCCTTTTTTCACATGAAATTCCACAGAATTTTAACGAGGGGTGCATGTACAAAGTGTACTAACGATAAGAACGAATTTATCATTTTTGCGTCAAAATTAAGCCCAAATTACAGGGTAGAAATGTTTACCTGCTGGAGTCTAAGGGGTGGATTCATAGAAACGTAATATAAAAATCGAAACACTGTCGTTACTTTTTGTTTAATTTTGTAATTGAATTTGCTTTAGATTATAGCTATCGTGAGGGGTTGATTTTTTATTCACGTTTTTAATTGTGAGAATCAATTTTCAATTTATGTTACAATCGAAGGTTAAGCAAAATTTAACCATTTGGAAGTGTAAGGGTTAGCAGTATAGTACCATGGTATAGGTAGGTATGAAAAATAGTATATTACGTCATAAGGTTGTAATAGTGCGTATTACAGGCGAGTAGAAAAATTACACACGATGCAGTTCGACAATTCTATAAAACAATATGCATTACAACCGAATTACGTACCATACTTTTTCTACGACCTCCGTGAATTTCGAAATGAAAATAAGGAAAACAAAAACCCAAAACGATCTCTGTTGACAGTTTTGACATTGGTAGATAATTATTAGGTGCTTCCAAACATACATGATCTACCTATTCTAATTTTTTTCATTACGCACGGGTGTAGGTGATGGGTACTACATCATGCCTCAAAATTATACGTTATTATGATCTCATACTCATTCCCAGTACTGAGTACGCATTATACGAGTGTGGGAAAGTGGGAAAAAATACACAAGTAAGTTATGTCTCTCTCACACTCATATAATGGTTTTTGTGTTTCTTTCTGGCTTATTAAAAGTCAGACCCGTAATATTTTTTTTCCATACTTGTATATAATTAATCTGTCCATCTGAAATAGCTGGTTCCATTGTTTTTAGTATGTACTATTCATTATCATTACTTCACTATCAAAAATCATTAAGAAATTGACAATAGAAAAAAGGTTTATTGCGCATTGCAATGATAATGATTGGATAAACCCACCATATAAGGAAGTGAGCTATTCCAATATGAATAAAAGAAATAAAGGATTAATAGTGGGTCCACAATATGCCACTTGACCGTATTAGGTCCCATCTTTGTATGATCCAAGATCTCAAAGTCGATCCAATAAACAACCTCAAATCCATAGGTACCATGGTATAATAAAAGTACTAAGGCCATATCTGTCCTATAGGCAGTATTCCCACTTGGTGGACGTTGAAAATTGGGGCAAATTGAAAGTCTATTTTTGTGAGCGAGAGATAATGGAGTCTATTTTCAGGTGAAGAAACTCTACATCCGCAATTTACCTCTCTACTACAACGAGGCAAACATACGCGCATCTGTTTGCAATATAATCAACGGATCCCTTATCACGAAGATACATTGGATTAGCAACAATTTTGCATGTATTCACTTCACTAGCAACCAATCTGCCGAACTCGCCATGAATTGGTTGAATAGTACGTACCTACTGCATATGCCGGAACTGGACAATGAACTCTTACTTTCCAGGCACTGCCATTTTGGGCGAAGGGGTCGAAATCAGCTTGGGAAGTCCGCCCAAGTATTTAATATATCAGCGCATGGACGCACCGGAACTAACCATCTCCACGTACGTAGCCCTCGAGTTTCGACAATGGACAATCGATTTTTTCAGCGCCCCTCGGCACGCTATGAACCCCACGAACGCCTTTGGGTTGCCCGTGCACCTAATGCGAAGAATCGTGCAGCAAGGCAGACTGGCCGTGAGCAGAGAAGTTGCGTACAGACCGGCAGGCCTATAATCCTATCTAGTATCCCAGAGCCAGAGTAAGTTTCAAAATTTCCAGACGATACTTGATACTTAAAAAAATTTTTTTTTATTTAGGACGGTACATTTCAGTTTATTTTTTTGTTATCGCATGATTAATAAGTCTTATTTAATTCCCGTTCATTTTTTTATGTCTCAGAAATGTATTTTTAGTTTAATGATATTGACATGGAGGAAGATCATTATTATTAATGTACTGTGCATCTGGGCCGATTTTGTTTGTTCTATTTCCGAATAAAAATATTCATACAGCAAGTCCGTTTTACTTATCCAGCTCCAGTCAGAGTCGGAGTCAAGAGTCCAGAGCGTTGGGCTACATAGCCGGAGGTCGGGTGTTCGAACCTGGGCTGAGGTAAAATTTTTTCATCTGTGGCAGAGATGGGAATTTCCTTTAGATCGGTTTCGAGCATTCTTCCGGCTACTCTGAGTTAGGTTTTCCTAATTCGTAAAGTAAATATCGGCGTAGTAGAGCCCAATACAAGAGGGACAATAAATAAAAATGAAACAAGCGAAAAATTGGAGCAAGTACACGCCGTTCAAGTATCTCGGAGTAATCATTAATGGACCAGCTGAATCAAGAAGCCGAAGTCAAGAGCAGAATCGAACAAGCCAAATGGAAAACGCTTCGAAATGTGGTTCTACCGAAGAATGGTGGAAATCCCGTGGACGGCCAAGATAACAAACGCACAGATCTTGCAGGATTGCACACGGACTGGGGCTTGCTCAAAATCATCATCACCAGGAAATGCAAATATCGCTAGGAACCACCAAAAATACTAACTACTGCCACTCATCGTGGAGGGCCTGGCTAGATAACATCAACACCTGGCTTCACATAACAAAAGAACAAATTTTACACAGTGCTAGACAGAGAACAATATCAAAATGAAGTCGTGAACGCCATTCGGCAGCATTAAAGAAGAAGAAAAAATAATACACGTTCATCTTCTCTTGGGGACCACTGCTTTATTTTTTCGTGAAGTGAAAGACGTGGCACACGTCACGCACTTATATAGTCTGTGACTAATAAAAACGTCCCAAATGTACATTCATTTGCAACAAATAAAACCCAAAACCATCTACTAACACAGTAAAGAGATGGTTAAACAAATATGAGAATTACGTTTCCTTTTGTTCAGAACAATCATCACTTGGATTTCATTTTAAAATTTCCTAAAAAGTTCTAAATTCGTACCTTGCATTCTGTTAAAAGTTCCATGGTACCATATCCCGTATCCCTTTCTGGACCATGGCCACTAAATTCACAATTAGTTCAAAACTGTACTATACGCGCACGTAACCGCGGTCACTAAACTACTATTTAGCATAAATTGAATTAAATCATTGTACTTGTTATCAGCGGAACGGGTTTCTTTAACGTCAAGGTAGATATACGTAAATTCCAAACGACCATAAATGTCACTAACCCCGAAATGTCCATTTCGTTCATTGCGAACATGCAATTTCTATCAAAAAAAACACCAACTCATCTTAATAATATGGGGTAGAATGCTCACAGGTACTCAGAAAAATAATTTTTTGATGTTTGCTTTTTTCATTTAAAAAAATAAACCTTCCTGAAAGCGTTTCCAAAAAGATTTTACAAGGAAATCGTATTTCCATAAACGTTTTTGAATACTACACACGATACCCAAGATGTTTTTAGGTAGGTTGACTAAGATTTCTCGCCAGCTTTTCCAGAGTTGTAGAAAGGTTTTGAAAACGTTTCTCAAGTAGATTTTCCACTTCATTTTCTAGGGAGTACACAGAATGGAAGCAGTAATTAGAAACAAAATTTCCAAATTGTCTTTCTTAAAAAAACGGTTCCTAAGAAAATTTCTAAGATCCTCAATCTCCTATCCAACACCCGCAAAAAATCTTAGCAGCATGAGCTATAGCACCGATTGTTCTGTGTTCCTTTCTTTTCTTTGTTCCTTTCATTTTTTGAATCGATATAATGGTTCTAACTAAGAAAGTCTTAGGGCCACACTCGTAAATCTCATTATACTTCATGGCTTCTAACAACCTCACATAAATTTCGATGAGTCTTTCAGAACCTTTTAGGGTTCTTGTGATGTTCTCCTTTTTTTAAGCGCCAATTCTTAAAACCTTTTAATAATTCATTACATGCTTAGGTAGGTATATGGGCATTTATTTTAAGAGACCTGAAGGAAGTCAAACTGTCTTCAAGGACTTCTAACTGCCTCAAATAGTCTCGACGAGTCTTCCAGAAGCGTATTAGGGTTCTTATTACTCTTTAAAAGTGCCAATTCTTAAATTTTTGTACGAGTCCTCAAATTCATTTAAGGGTATTTAAGTCCCATTAATGGACCTAAACAGCCCTCAAGGATTTCCAACAGCTTCAAATAGTCTCGACGAGTCTTTATGATTTTCTTCTCTCTTTAAGTGTCAGTTCTTAAGACGTTCTATGAATTCTAAATGCCTTTAAGCGTATTTAAGAGCCATCAATGGACCCACACTCCCACAGTATTCAATGGCAACCTCAAATATCTCGACGACTGTTCCAGAAACTTTTGGGGTCTTTATCATTCTTTCTCTTTTAAGTATCAATTCTTAAGACCTTTTATGCGTCATTTTAATGGGCATTTAAGAGTCGCTACTGGCCCAAGACTTCCACCAACCCCAAATAGCCTCGCAGAGTCTTCCAGAAGCTTTTGTCACTTTATGATTCCCTCCTCCTCTTCAAGCGCCAATTCTTAAGACCTTTTATGAGCGTTTAAATGCTTTTATGGTCATTCAAGAGCCATTAAGGAGCTCAAACAGCCTTCAAGGACTTTCTAACAACCTAAAAAAACTCGAACGAACCTTCAAGCGACTTTTAGGGTCTTTATGAATTTATGCTTCCTTCCTCGCAAATCCTTAGGCCCTTTTCTATGAGCCCTTGCATACTTTTATTGGTATTTAAGAGTCATTAAGGCCAGTGGGTATTTAAGTGACCAATAGTCTTTAAGTACTTCCTAAAATAACCTCAAATCGTCTAGATCAGTCTTCCAGAAGCTTTTAGGGTCTTTATGATTCTCTGAGTTCTCAGTTTCTGACACAAGTTACTTATGTCTTTAAATGAGAGTTTAAAAGCCATTAAGGGAGGCAAACACTCTTCAAAAACTCCCAGCAGTCTCGAAGAGTCATCCGTAGAAACTTTCAGATTCCCAAACATTTTTAAGTTTCCAAAAACCTTAGTGTTTCAACGTCTAAACTTTAAAAAATTCCTACAGCAATGGAAGCAAAATTTCAAAATTATCTTTCTTTAAAAGAACGGCTCCTAAGAAAATTTCTAGGATCCTCACGCCCATTTAGTTTCTCTTCTTACTTCATTATTCGGTCGTTGGTATTTCTTTTTTCTGTCTGCGGTATTTTGCCGCTTATACTTCCTCCTTTCTTCCTACTTTTCAATCATTTCAAATGTTATCCGTGGCTTCCTTACTCTTATTCCTCTCGGATACCCCACCTCCTTTTCAGCCACTTCGATTATCGCATTCTTCGTGCTTTTCCAGTTGTCTTCTGTACCTTCATGACTCTTCCTACATACTCTTTAACCATCTCCCTTAATTTCACCCTTCACATTCCTTTTGTTTCTCAGGTTCCTAGTTCAACAGGGACAGAACACACGGAGAGTCGAGTATGAGCATTTGAACAGGACTTCCAAGACCCCGACCCAGCATCGAAGAATCTTCCAACAGCTCCATATGGCTCTCCTCTCTTAAAGCACCATGAGACCTGAAATGCTTTTATGGGCATTTAAGAGCCATTGAGCCAGTTTTCAAGGACTTTTAACCTTATCCAGAAGCTTTTCGAGTCTTTATGATTCTCTTCTCCCTTTCAGTGCAAATTCCTAAGTCTTTGATGACTGATGAGCATGCTTTTAGGGGCATTTAAGAGTGATTAATGGACCCAAACAGTTTCCAAAGACTTCTAAGAACCTCAAATAGTCTTGCAGAGTCTTCTAGAAGCTTGTAAAGTCCTTATGATTCTCTTCTCTCTTCTTAAGACTTTTTAAGAGTCACTAAATGCATTTATGGGCATTTAACACCCCTTAATAGACATAAACGGTCTTCAAGGAGTTGTAACAAACTCAAATAGTCCTTATGATCCTCTACTTCCCTTAAGCGCCAAGTTTTTATGAGTTCTTAAAAGTTTTTATGAGTCTTTTAAGAGACACAAACAGTAATCAAGGACTTCTAGCAGCCTCAAATAGTCTCGAACCTATCCTTCCAGAAGCTTTTGATTCTCTCCTGTCTTTAAGAGAAAACGGTCAAGTTTTTTATTAGTCGCTAAATGCTTTTATGGGCATTTCAGGGTCATTAAGAAACTCGAACAATCTTCAAGGGCTTCTAACAACCTCAAATAGATCTTGCGGCGTCTTCCAGAAGCTTTTAGGGTCCTTATGATTATCTACCTCCTCGCTTTAAGCTACGATTCTTAAATCTTTTTATGAGTATAAGCGAATTTAAGAGCCATTAAGGTTCAAGGACTTCTAGCAACCTCAAATAGTCTCAACGACCAGAAACTTTTTAGGGTACTCTTCTCGATTTAAGCGCCAATTTTTAAGACCATTGATGAGTTCCTCCAATGACTGTATGGGCATTTAAGAGCCATTAATGGACCTTTTGAGACGCTTTATGTCCTTAAATGAGCGTTTAAAACCCAATAAAGAACGCAAACAGTTTTTAACGACCCCCAACAGACCCGAAGCAGTCTCGAAGGGTCTTCCAGAAGATTTTCTCTTTATTTAAGAGCAAATCTTTTGAGAGTTTTAAAGAATCTTCAAGGTCTAAGAGTCCCAAAAATGTTCAGGTTTCCAAAAATCTCAGTGTTTAAACGTCGAAACTTAAAAATTTGTAACGGTCACCAATAATCTTAAAAGATTTCCAGAGTTTTTACAGTACCCGAGAAAGTTCTAGATCGTTTTAGTCTTTAAAATCTTTGTCTTGATTTTCAAAAACCTTAAAGCGGAGAGACTTCACGGATCCTTTAAAACTGTTTATGTTTCAAGTGTCTCCAAGGATGTCTATCCAGCTTTCAAGAGTCCTTGTGAGTTCTTTACCAACTTCGGTAATATCTAAGACACAGGGTTACCAACAACCTTTCGAAACCTTTAAGGATCTTATTGAGGCCCTTCCGCCCTTCAGTGTCATTCGGATCTGTCAGTTCTCTTTGGAGTTTTTAAAAGCATTT